ACCGCAGGACCAAGAACAGGGAAGAGGGGCTGGGGATTTAGCTCAGTGGCACTGTGCCTGCCTCGCAAGTGCAAGATCCTGAGTTTGACCCCCGCCGCCCCATACCAAAAAAACAAAACAAAATAGGGAAGGGCTTCCCCAATGAAATTGGTGCCATTACCCGAAAAAACGATGGATGTTAAATAGGCAAAAACAACACATCCCCACCATGTCAGGAGAGTCCCTGGATCCACGTCAGCCCAGGAAAAAGGCACTGAGCAGATGCTCTACTCCTTCTGTCCCCCAAAACCTTGATTTTCTCAGTTAATCCTCTCAATATCCTGTGAGATACTACTGTGAATAGACCTGAGTCTGTAGCTCACCCTGCCACACCCCCACTGGTTGGTAAAAAGTTAGGTGCAAGAGCCAAGGTCAATCCTTGGTACCCTCATACACACTAGTTACAGGAGAATGCTGCTCACATACAGGTATTTGTTTTTACTTATTTTTGTTTGTTTGGGGATTGAATCCAGGGCCTTCACACTTAGCTCTTTTTTACTTTAAGACAGGGTCTCAGTAAGTCACTAAATTGCCCAGGCTGGGCAAAGAGACTTCAATTCTCCTGCCTCAGCCTCCCAGGGCACTGGATCACAGGCATATGCCACCACTGCCAGTAACATAAAGGCATTTATTTTAGAAAATTAGCAAACAAATTGAATACAGTTCATATGACTGCTCTTTAAGATGGATAGCCCAGAACCTTAAAGGAAAAGGTATCAGAGGCAGATCCAGAACCCCCAGAGGCAGACTTATAATGCCCTGGAAGGAATCGTGGAAAAAGACTCAGGCCACACCTCAGGGCTCAGGTGCCAGGTCTGTGATAGTGAGGGTCTAAAATATTGCAGCCAGTCCTTATATCCAGAATGTCACACATTTCACAATAAAGTAAAAACCTCTTTCTGATATTTTCTGGCAAAACCTGTGGTGCAGACCAAGACAGATAGCGAGGAGTTTGTGATTACTACTTCTGGAGTGCAGATGATGGAACTGAGACAGACAGAAGTGTCCTGTTACCCAGGATGGAGCCAAGGAGAACAGCACTGGGAACCTGGCAGGATATATGGCTCCAAAATTTGTTCCACAATCATACAGCAGACCTGGAAACCAGTAGCGTCTAGGAGGTGTTGGAAGACAAGAGGTGGGGTGAGACTTGCTTAGTGCTAGAGTAACTGCCTAGTGTGTGAAGGCATTGGGTTCCATCCTCAGCACAGAAGTAGATAAGAGATGAAGTCAAAGCCGGGCATAGCGGTGCCTGTAATCCCAGCATGCTAGTGGCTGAGGCAGAAGGATTACCACAAATTTGAGGGCAGCCCAGAGTTCAAGGCCAGCCTGAACTGTCTAGTGAGACCCTGTTTAGAAAAAAAAAAGAGAGAGAGGGCCAGGGATGTAGCACAGTGGTGCTGTGCCTGCCTGGCAAGTGCAAGGTCCTGAGTTTGAGCCCTAGTACCACAAAAAACAAAAAAATCCCAATGCTGCCCCCCAAAAAAAAACAGAGAGAGAAGGAGAGAGAGATGAAGTCAGGCAAGGAGGTTAGTGATAATCAACTCTTAAGAGGCAAGTGTAGGAAAAAGACTAGTAAGTACTAGGTACGCGGGGACTAACACTCATTTTATTTAAACAGAACAGTGTAAGGCAACCACTGTCCCCAAAGCAAAGGAAGAAAAAGCTCAAAAAAGCAGAGCATGGCTGGGGGTATGGTTCAGTGGTAAAGTTTACTTAGCATGCCTCAAACCCTAGGTTTATTCTCTAAAACAGGGTAAAAAATAAATAAAAGGAAGGTGTCTTACTTTTTCATCCCACAAGTTAAGAGAGGGGACGTTCATTTTATCTCAGTTTGTAGAAGTTTTAGCCCATACTTGGCTGGCTCCAAGGCAGGATAGCGGAGGAGAAACAGCCCATGGCAGGGTAGGCAGGAAGCAGCCAGTCTACCTTTTTTTTTTGTCCCTTTATATTCCATCAAACTACAAACTGATTGGTCCCACCCACATCCAGGATGGGGCTTTCACAATCCACTCAGCCACCCCAGAACTATGCTAATCCATTTAGGGGACTAATCCTGATATCACACACCCTTAATCCATGTTCACACACCTTAGACTCACCATGTCTGAAAAGCGCACATGAAAGAGCACATGGGGTTTTGGGGGGACATCTAGATACAATCCATAGTAGGAGGGAGGGCTGGGGATTTAGCTCAGTGGTTCCACCGCCTGCCTCGGAAGCACAAAGACCCGAGTTTGATCCTGGTACCAAAAAAAAGGTCTCAACATAGCAGGAGGGGGAGTGTTCAACACACTAAATGTTAAAAGGAGATCAAGCTGAATTCTAAGTGACTCTAGATTTGGAACAAAAAGGCCATCAGTGAGTAGTAGTTTCTTGGGATGGCAGAGCAGGTATGTGTTGGTAAATATTTTAACAAATACATCTCCCCCCAAAAGAAGGATATATCTAGATATATCTATATATAAAATACTTTTATAAAGTATTATGGCATAGAATTTGTAATTAATAAAATTTATAATATTCTTTTTTTTTTCAGTACTGATAGATCGAACCCAGTAGTGCTCTACCAGTCAGCTATGTCTCCAACCCTTACTGACTTAATTTTGATGGATTGAATGTTGAGGTAGGGCCTCCCTAAATTGCCCAGGCAGAATTCAAGCTGGTGATCCTCCTGCCTCAACCTTCCCAAGTGCTGGAATCACAGATGTGCATCACCATGCCCAGCTCAACGTAGTGCTGTCTACTGTACCTCCCACCCTTGTGTCTGATTTCAGAAATGGAGATGTACCCTGATTATAAATGTAGTTCTAACAGGAATACTGGCTATTTTTTTACTTACAGGTAAGTAAGACAAAAAAGAAACTGTGAAGGTACAAGTTGAAACGTTACTGGTTCCATAGTGACTGTTGAATCTGATAATAGTTTTCAAATCCTGAAAAAATTACTTAGATTGTATCATTCACAATGTAATAGTCAACAGACATAACATGTTTCCCTCCTCACTTTGGGGGATTGAGCCCAAGGCCGTCTCACTGAACTACATCCCTAGACTATTTTATATTTTTTATTTTAAGACAGGGTCTTGCTGTTTCCCAGGCTGGGGCTCAAACTTGTGATTTTCTGCCTCAGCATCCTCAAGGCAAGCCTGGGCTACATACTGGGATGCTCTCTCACAAAAAGAAAGAAAAAAAGAAAAAAAAGTTTTGGTGCTGGGGTTTGAAATCAGGGCCTCAAGCATAAAATAAAGTACTATATATGCATTGCACCATTTAGCTGCACCTCCAGTTTAAATATAACTTAATTGTAAATTTAGATCATTTAATTTTTTGAAACAGTCTAAATTGCCCAAGCTAGCAGTGAACTTCTGATCGTCCTGACTCAATTTCTCCAGTAACTGGAATTATAGGTGTATGACCAACAAGTGATTGTGCAGTACTGGGAAATGAATGCAGGGCCTTCACACTGAGCTACAATTCCTAGCTTTTTTCTTCTTCTTCTTCTTTTTTTTTTTTTCTGATTTTTTGATACAGGGTCTCACTATGTAGTTGAGACTGACCTGGAACTCACTATGTAGCCCAGGCTGGTCTCGAACTCACAGTGACCCTCCTGCCTCAGCCTCCCAGTGCTGGGATTACTTATAGGCGTGAGCTACCATGCCCCGCTATGGGTTGATTGTTAAACAGGGCCTTTAAAAATAAAGTGAGCCATGCTGGGCATGGTGGTGCACTGTAATCCCAGCACTCGGGAGGCTGAGGCAGGAGGATCGCTGTGAGTTCGAGACCAGCCTGGGCTACATAGTGAGTTCCAGGTCAGTCTCAACTACATAGTGAGACCCTGTCTCAAAAAAATCAGGAAAAAAAAAAAATCAACCCATGAAGTTCTTGGAAAAGCCGGCTTTCTCAAATCAATAGGAGCACTCCCCTTTGTGGAGTAAATGGTAGACTGCAACAGCAGAAGACTTTCCCTTATCAAGGCATTAACTGTGTGGCCAGCAAGATTACCTGCCTGCCTCTCATGGAACTCCAGGATTTTGAACTGCTCCTTTGGAAGCAACTCCTCTCACATACCTTGGGCATATTAATCCCTACTCCACGACACCTGTAAGTCATTTATAACATTTACCACAATTTGCACAGTTACATTATTCTGGGTTTCTCTGTCCGAAGACCTGTAATGGACAAAGTTCAGTAAGGGTTCTATCAAGATCTATTTCCTCTGTACCTATTTCAGTGGTCTGTATAGTAAAGGCACAGTAAGTATTCACTGAATGAATGCCAAGGATGAAGGGCTGTCGTAACAAGATGGATGGATGGATGGAAGACTACACACATGTAGTCTTATGTGTAAGACGTTGCCACAAAACATTTCAGTTGCTTTTTGCTAATTTGGATATCAAAACCGGCCTCGGCTCCACCATTCAGAGCTGGAAAAATACAGTGCTGAGAACCTTCCGAATCAGAATATTCATCTAAATGGCACAAGACTCTCTTATTTGTTTGTATAACCACTACTCCTAGTGTACGTGTATTAATTCCTTCCTGTAAAACACTGGCACGCAGGAGGGAGGGGGGGTTCTCATGAGACTGAAATGAAACGGAGATTCTGCCAGGTTTCTGAGTGTGGGCGCCAACCTCCTTCCTTATTACGATACCGTGAAAGCCTTCATGATAAACAATATTCACACAAAAACAATTCTACAGAAAAAAGCCGAATTCTTTTTTTTTTTCTTTTTTTGGTAACAACATTCACACAAAAACAATCTTACATTTAAGAAAAACCTAAAGCTAATTTTTCTTTTCTTTGCTACCAGAAGATGCAGCACCACTGGGCTAATCCCTACCTAATATAACTTAAGGGCCAAAATTTAAATTCCACAATAAGTTAAATAAACTCAAATCATTAAAGTGCAATCAGGAACGTATTTTCCTTGCAAAAATAAAAAACAAGCACAAAGCACAACCTCAAATAAGAAGAAAAAACCCTACAACGAAAAAACACAGAACTTACATAACAGTGGATAAAATATCTATTCACTGCTACACATAAAAAAAGAAGATCGTCAGGAAGAATCAGATAGGAGTAATCAGGGTGTTGCAAGTCCTGATCACGCAGAAACGCTAATCACGTATCATGCAAACTCCAATCATCATATTCTATCTGCCCTCCAAAAGGAGGGACAGGTAAGGATTATCCCACCTGACGATATGGTGGAAATATCGGTTGTTGACTCCTCAGCAGAAAAGATACCACTACAAGATAGGGTGATTATATTATGGGTTAGCCTGAACAATTCAGTTACCCAGTGTTCCTCCACTTCTAACGCACTATTTATTCGGAAATCTTTAAAATAATTTGTTTTCCATTCAGCTGCCAAAAATGGAGCAATAACTTCCTTCCCAGAATGCCTCGCTCACATCGTGCTACGCGCATTATTTATTTACATATCCCCGCCCACAGCCTTCCACCCGCCGTCTACGGAAAAAATCAAAATAGAATCCCTACAGATTATTTTAAGGTCGGCAGAGCCGCAAAACAGCCTTTCTTTTCTCCAGCAGTTTGGTCACCCTAATTGTCTTATGAAAGTGTAAGGCTTGTTCTTAGCATAAAATATATTTTATTATAAAATATAAGTAAAACGCTAATCCGAGCCAAGAGAAAATCACCCCAACATCACCACCCTCTCCCACAAAGCAGTCTCTGGCCATGGTGGGGGTGGAAAGAAATGAGCAAGGATCGAAGCCTATGCGTCCCTTCTTCCACGACGGTAAGCGGCCCCTGGTTCCTCCAGTCTTCCTCCCTACCTTCCTGCCATGAAGATGATCAGAAAGGTTTCTTTTTCAGCCCAAAGACAGCGACGAATAATGCCATTTCAGTGACAGCTGGGAGGGCACTGTGGGAGGTAATGGTTTCAGAGCTTCTTCCAATATAAATATCCAAATTTCCAGACCACTGATCCCCAACTCCAGAGTACAGGGAAGTTCGATGAGGGCAGATCTGGTATCTCAAACATGGAGGAAAAAAGGACTGGATGGGAAAATCTTCAGATTTGGGGTAAACCTTCCCTTCCCATCCCAGATAATGAATGCTACCGCACCTGCAGAAGACAAAAATGTACCAGTATGTAGTACACTCCCACTGCTCGAATATGAAGAAGGATAGGGCCACAGAAGCACTACAGTGAGCCCCGATGGCTTGAAACAAACTAGAGTGAAGGAAAGTCTTTAGATCCACAAGTAATGATGGGTCTGAAAAGACCAGTGGTATGGTGGGCACCTGGCTTGTCTTTTGCCCTCTCACCATACTGCAAAGACCAGAATCAGCCGCAGCTCTGTCATCTTGAGTTTTAAGACAACCATGTGAGTATAAGCCAGAGCTGAGCTTTGTCCAGATGGGACCCCACCCCCCATATCCAGGGGTCATCCTAGACCCTTCAGGTGAGGCAAGGTAGGCTCCTCACACAGGAATGCAGACAGAGACTTGATACACTCTGCTGGAATCATGCTCTGGTGCACTGGTTCTCCTGGTCCCCAATTCACAATTTCGAAGCCTTCTCTGATCTATCTGCCTCATCTCCTTGGTCTCTCTTGAGTTCTAATAGTGCTTTATATTTTTACACACTCTTATAGCATATTGTTTATAGATTGACTTATGGATGATGTGTGTCTGTGTCTGCTTGCTCAAGGGAGAAGCTGTTTCGAAGACATCTGGGTGTGTCCAGTGCCCAGTGCACAGCAGGATTTAAATATCTAAAGATTGTATTAAATCCCCCACACTGCCTGAGATCTCTGATTTTGTTTGCCGGCTAGACTTTGCGCCAGAAAGGACTAGTTAGGTGGCTGAAGGGAGTCATGATGCATAGAGGTAGACAGGCAGGAAGGATACAGATGAGACTCTGAGTACTGTTGAACATGGAAACTCCTGAGAGGAAACCGGCCAGCTCCACTGCAAAGAGGCCCAGGGTGACAGAAAGTGCTGTTACCAGCCTGCAGAGAAGAAAGGGATTGGATCAGGCCCTCTGAATTTGGAAGACTCTTCCATCCCACCACCTCTTCGTCGAAACCACTCTGCCCCAAGAGCTCACTGAATGTCTTGCTTCTTATACTCCTCCGGGGTGAACCTCAGAGGCAGGCAAGCCAGGATGTTGCTGTCCTATGGAACAGGGCAGAAAGAAAAAGAAGGGAAAGAGGAGCGGGTTGGGGGTGAGGACTGGGGCGACCCGGAAAGAAAAGACCCGAGGGGATAAAACCTGGGGGAGGGGTGGGGTTATCCTGGGATTTCAGAGGTGGAAAAGCCAGCGATTGGAGGGGATCGGTGCGTCTTACCCGGGACCAGAATAAGGTGATAACGACTACCAGATGCGCCAGGAGCGTCAGAAAGCGAGAGGGCACAAGGCCCGAAATCCGACCCATGACCTTCGGGTACTGGGGAAACACTTGGAGCAGGAGCTGTGGTCTGGAAGTTCAAGGAGGATTACGCTGTAAGGATGTGCAAACTGGCAAAACCCCCTTCTCACGTTCCTTCTCGCGCGCCCAGGCACCGCCCAGTTGCTTTGGTAACTGCGTACATCGGGGCGGGGCCTGCTCAGAAATCTCGCGAGAATAGTATGCTCTCAATCCATTAAATGTTTGCCGGACAACCCTGGTCCACTGGATGTGGTTAGAGTCAAAACCGAACTGGACCCGAGTTGAGGCTCCTCTGTTCCCGAAGTGTTGTCAGTGACTAAGAGTGTGCTCTGTGGCAAGTGCCTCACCGCCGAAACTGTCCAGGCCGTGGTTGGCGAGGAGAAACCCGCCCTACGTTGGGCCGGAAGCATCACGACCTCTATCTGACTACCTACACTGGGAACCACGCAGCCCAGGTGTTCTCCAAGAGGACTCTTATCACTTAATTACCCGAGACCTTTGCCACCTGCACACCAGTTTAGATCGCCTCCAGGTCCAAGACTTGGACTCTCCCTTTCCTTCTTTTGCATGCTTTTAGCTTCTCATTGCCTTGGCACGAGGAGATAAGGGTGGAAAGGCGAGTGTCCCTAGGTTATCTGACAGTCGCATGTTTTCCGGAGCCCTTGATTGTTGGGGGATTCCAGACCTGAACCTTCCTGGACAGAGACTCAGATTATCCCCAAACAAGTTGTCAGTTTGGTGAGGGATTTGCAGAGTGCAGAAAATGAAGTAGAGTGTGGTGAAATTTGACTTTGAGGAGCAGAATGGATCACCCGGACCGGAAAGTGGAGAGGGTAGGAGCAAAGGAAAGGAATGGAATAGTCTCTGTGTCCCTAGGAGGCTTACAGTTGACTGTGGTTGGTGCAGACCCAACTCTGATTTCATTATTGCTTTGAGGTCCCGGCCCCCTCGACATTCCTGTAATCTTAGCACTGGAACTCTGAGGCAGGAGGATCACCCTGAGTTTGAGGCCAGCCTGGGCTACATAGATAGACCCTGCTTTAAAAAAACAAAAAACAAAAGAAACGAGAGGAGTCCATTTCTTTGGGACCCGGGGAAACAAAAATGTATTTCCTTTCATTTTAGCCAAATTCTCTAAAACGAGGTTTTAAGGATGAATGGCCCATTTTCAAATAGCCATGAAGATGATCAGAAAGGTTTCTTTTTCAGCCCAAAGACAGCGATGAATAATGCCATTTCAGTGACAGCTGGGAGGGCATTGTGGGAGGTAATGGTTTCAGAGCCTCTTCCAATATAAATATCCAAATTTCCAGACCACTGACCCCCAACTCCAGAGTACAGGGAAGTTCGATGAGGGCAGATCTGGTATCTCAAACATGGAGGAAAAAAGGACTGGATGGGAAAATCTTCAGATTTGGGGTAAACCTTCCCTTCCCATCCCAGATAATGAATGCTACCGCACCTGCAGAAGACAAAAATGTACCAGTATGTAGTACACTCCCACTGCTCGAATATGAAGAAGGATAGGGCCACAGAAGCACTACAGTGAGCCCCGATGGCTTGAAACACACTAGAGTGAAGGAAAGTGTTTGGATCCACAAGTAATGATGGAAGGATAGGGCCAGAAGCACTACAGTGAGCCCCGATGGCTTGAAACACACTAGAGTGAAGGAAAGTGTTTGGATCCACAAGTAATGATGGGTCCTTGATCATATTACTTTAGTGGTTCCCTTGAAAATTTTTTATTTACAGCATCAATTAACTTGCAGGTTTGTTATTTGCTTTATTTGTTAAGATCTTGCTGCTTAGAATATACTTTTTTGGGGAGGGTACTGGGGATCAAACTCGGGACCTTATGCAAAGCAGGTAGCAAAACCACTGAGCTAAGTCCCCTACTCTCTAAGAAAAACTTGTACAAATTTCTCAGGTCCTTGTGCTTGGGAGAATTTGGTTAAAATGAATGCACCATCACATCTGACTTTTTCTTTTTTGAGTCAGGGTCTCACTATGTAGCCCCAGTTAGCCTTAGAGTCACAATGCTTCTACCTCGGCCTCCCAAGGGATTACTGGTGGGCACCACTGCACCCGCCTGGCTGGATTTTCTTCTTTTCTTTTCTGTTACTAGGGAGCAAACTCAGGACCTTGCACTTTCAATGCAGGTGGCAGCACCACTGGGCTAAATCCCACCACCCCTGCTTTTTTCTGGCTGGATTTTCTTGTTCTATAAACCTATAGGTGAAAAAATTCAGAACTCAAAGAAAGTCAAAGCTTTTAGGTCAAGGTTATGAAAGACAAAGACTGAGTAGCTCTTCCAAAGTAAAGACTAAAGAGGAGTGACAAAATTGACAACTTTAAGGGCCACAAAAAATTATTATAAAAGATGGTAAAATTTCAGTAAAACTTGTGACTTAGATAATAGCATTGCATCGATATTAATTGCCTGAATTTCTACTTATTTATTCTTCGTGGTGATGGGAATGAAACCTGGGGCCTTGCACATTCTAGACAAATGCTCTACCATGGAGATATAGCCCCACCTCAACTTCCTGATTTTTGATAATTGTGCTAGTATTAGGTAAGATCATCTTCTTAGAAAATATACACTAAAGCTGGGCATGGCGGTGTATGCCTATAATCCCAGCACTCAGGAGGCTGAGGCAGGAGAATCACTGTGAGTTCAAGACCAGCCTGGGCTACATAGTGAGTTCCAGGTCAGTCTCAACTACATAGTGAGACCCTCTCTCAAAAAAAAAAAAAAAAACAAAACAAAAAAAACACTAAAATACTTAGGAGCAGAGGGCATTATTTCTGCAACTTTCTGTCACATAATTCAGCAAAAATATACTGTTTTATATAGAAAGATGATGAAAACATGCATGATCAGAGTGAAAGCACAATGAAATTCTTTGAATTATTTTTACAGCATTTCTATAATTTGGATTGCTTTTAAAATGTTTTTACAATGTTTGGAAGTCTTTTATTTCTCCCTTTGGTGCTGGAGGTTGAGCTCAGGGCCTTGCACGTTTCACACCATGCTACTGAGATGCACCCCCAGCCTCCCTTCTGAGTATTATCATAGAGACATGAAGCAGCATTGCAAAGCAGAAGTCATTTCTACCACCTGTATACATTGCACTCCTATGTGTACTGTACTCTATTTTTGAAATTTATTTTCTTTTGTGGTGCTGGGGATCTAACGCAGAGCTTCACACATGCTAGGGTAATGCCCTACCACTGAGCTACACTCTCAGTCCCCATATACTGAAACTATTTAATGACATTTTCATAAAAAAAAACACCTCTTCAGAATGCAGCAAGAGCTGGACATGGTGGAGTACATCTGTCATCCCAGAACTTGGGAGGCTGAGGCGGGAGGATTGCTAAGAGTTTGAGACCTGCCTAGGCTACATAGTGAATTCAAGGCCAACCTGGACTACAAGTGAAAACTTGTCACAAAAACAAAACAAACAAAACAAAGCCAGACAGCAGCGCAGACTTTTTGTAATGGAGCCCAAAAGAGGAGAAAATGTGATCCCTAAAACTGTCTTTTATCCTCATGAAGTAAAAATTGTGATCATTTAGTCTTTACTGAGGAATTAGTTTTTGTTTGCTTGGTTTTTTGTTTTTGGCTTTTCTGAGAGAAGTTCTTGCTATGTAGTTCAGGCTGGTCTTGAACTCACTATGTAGCCCAGACTTGCCTCTGGGCTTGCATGATCCTCCTGCTTCAGCCTCCTGAGCGTTGGGATTACAGGAGTGCACCACACCTGGCTAGAAATTAGTTTTTAAAAGAGGGAAGTTTAGCAAAGTCCCTTTGTTTTCTATTCAAAAAATATTGAATGATAACCAAATATTACCCAAACCATTTTCTTAGCTACAATGTAAAGAAGGTTCTTGTCTTGACTATAGTCTTTTCAAAGTTCTAAAAATTTTTTTCAAGCTTCCCTCATCTCAGGATCAACAAGCAAAACCACAAGTACAATGGATACAACTGCTTTGCACCTTTGAATTGACCTTCATTGTCATTAAACCACAAAACAAGCAAGAGTTGGCCAGACATGGTGGTACACACCTGTGATCCTTGCACTTGGGAGCTGAGGCAGGAGGATCATTGTGAGTTCAAGGCCAGTGTGAACTACATAGCAAGACACTGTATCAAAAAAAAAAAAAGGGAGAGAGATGACACCTATGTTAGTGAGATATAAGCATCCTGTACACTCCAACACAGAAATTAATAGTCTAGCAAGTATTCCACACCCTCAAGGCATAGATAAAATATATGGAGACTTCACGTTTTTCTTCTCTCTGCTTGTACTTTATATGCATTTTTTCCTGAGAATAGAAAACCAAAGTGGAGCTCCTACTATGATAGCTTGTCAAGTCTGGTTGTTCCCAGATGAAGGAAGCTGTGTCATAGAGCAGCAGTGAGGAAAATCCAGGACCTACTTTCACAAGATTTTTCACGGTCCCTGAATAAAACAAAGTAAAAGAATCAGGCATGTGAAGAACTTTGGAAAGAGCACTCAGGGAGAGGGAAGAGTGTGTACAAAGGGGTGGGAATAAGCCAAGTGTATTGATGAGTAGAAAGGAACCAGTGTTTCTGAAGCCCACTGATAGAAGGGGAAGAGCAGTGTACAGTTGGAGAGACAAGGAGCCAGATGCCATCAGGAATCGTTTCTCAGCCCTTTGGCTAAGATCAAGTGCTGATGCCATTAGGTTTTAGCCCACAGTAGTAGTGCACACCTGTAATCCCAGCACACAGGAGGCTGAGGCAGGAGGATCACTGTGAGTTTGAGGCCAGCCTGGACTACACAGTGAGTTCAAGGCAGCCTGAACTACATAGTGAGACCCTGTCCAAAAAAAAGAGAGAGAGAGAAGGAGGAGGAGGAGGTGTCTGAATTTATAGCTACAGGGAGGGCCATGGTCAAATTAGTATTCTAGAAGATGACTCTGGTTGAAACATCTAGAATGGACTTTGTTCCAAAGGTGAATGAGGAAGACACAGAATTATCTAGAAGGGACAGTTGGGGTTTGCACCAAGGAGGACCTTCTGAAGAAAGTAGAGAAAACACAAGGTCCTGAGTTTGATCCCTGTTAGAAAAAAAAAAAAAAAAAAGACAGTAGAGCAAAGTAGGTGAAATCAAGAGATAGAAGGTCTAGGCATGG